AGGGTTAAGGGTTTAGGGTTTCAGTCGCTATGTTGTTTTGGGTGTGAAGTGGGATGTATCATTCCTGGCAAAGGCGGATCTCGTCAGATTTTTCCTCGGGGTCCGTGGGTCTGTAAGGTACATGCCTCCAGTGGAGCAGCCCACACGTATGCTGGCTTTCATGTGGCTTCTAAGCCTGGAGAAGCATTCCCCTCTAAACGGATTGGGTTTTGGCAGTTCAAGGTACCCTAACGATCAAAACAGCCCAAAAGCCTTATATAGTATGCTCGTTGGGCCCAAAAGCCTTAAAATATGAGTCCTTAGAGCCTTAGGGCTATGGGGGCTTTGCAGATTCTGATGTCTGGAACCTCAGCAGCGAGCTTTTGGGACTGAAGGCTTTCGGGCATATAGACGGGTTTAGGGTTTAGGGTTTAGGGTTCAGGGTGTAGGGATTTAGGGGGTTTAGGGTTTAGGGTTTAGGGTTTAGGGTTTAGGGGGATTGATTTAGGCTTCGTAGTCTTATTCCTTAAGGGTTCTGTACGTAGTGTGGTCATAGTAATTAATGATATTCCTTAGAGTTTCAGGATTACAGTTGTAATAGCAAGGTTTGCGCTTAAAGGTTCCCTACTATAGTTATAGTTGTTATTCTTTACGCCCGCTAAATTGTACGATTGCGGAAGTGCCCCGGAGCCAAGGAAGTGTGACCCACGTGGCGCACATGTTTGTCGACGTGAGTCTTGCCGACATGCGTGCTGTGTGGAACCCTCTCTCTATCTATCAGGTTTCTTGTGCTTTTTCAATTATTTCGACTAGGCTTCGGATTCTGACCCTGATCGTAACTGAAAGACCATCTGCATCAGCCCGAACTCTGTGGTCTAGATTGAACCATAAAGTCAAATGGCAATGCCAATGAGGGGGCCTACTCGAGGCACATTCAAAAATTACACCGTTCTAGGATTCCAGGATTTTCTTGGTTGCGATCCTGCCGCCGCTTCATGGCGGCTGATGTGCATGCTGGAGTAGCACAGAAACTGAAAGCATACCGGGGCGCACCGACTAAGTTCATCTCTACACGTAGTAATGTAGTAGAGAGGGGATAATTCACGAATGCGAATTTGTGCGAATGAGGCCTTCGCACCTCCGCTTGCTTGCTGCAAGAGCTTGGCGACCATGCGGTATACTGTACCCTAAACCCTAAACCCGAAGTTAGAGAAGGAAGAAGGAAGCCTGTGTGTTGTAATGCAGGATCCCACCCCAGAACTTCGATTCTCCTGACCCCGAAACTCTGGGTTGTGGACCCTAAACCCTAAACCCTAAACCCTGAACCCGAAACCCCTAAACCCCTAAACCCCTAAACCCTAAACCCCCAGCCCTAAACCCGAACCCCTAAACCCCTACACCCTAAACTCTGAAGGGCCATTTTTTCGTGAGCAGTGCCTTGAGGATCCCGGCTCCAGGGTTTGCCATGACACAGATGTTCAGGGGCTTAGGGCTTGGGGTTTGGGGGTCTAGGTAGTAGGCATCTTATCTACAAATATGTTTCAGAGGCTTTGAGGGGTCAACCTAGGTATAGGGTTTAGGGTATGGGGTTTAGGGTGTCGGGTTAAGGGTTTTGGGTGTAGGTTTTAGGGTGTCGGGTTTAGGGTTTTGGGTGTAGGGAGTTTGGAGGTGATGCTGCGCACATCCCTGGGGTTTAAAAAGCCCAGAGTGTTCCTTGCAATGCTTAGGATAGATTTTGCAACCCAAGCCCTACATTTTGCCAAGGTCCTTGAGGGGTTTCCTATTATGACCCCAAGCCCTAAATCCTAAAGCCCGAAAGCGGCAAAGCCCTACCTTAGCCTACCAAAACCTGTACTTTTTGCAGGATCCCTATAAAATTATAGGGTTTGGGAATTAGGACCTGCGCAAATGTCGGTTATGAAGTTTAAGGTAACCCTCTGACAGGCAGTCTGCTGCTGAGGGCCTTTTTCCTTTCAAGGGTTTAGGGTTTAGGGTTTAGGTCAAGGCCCCCAGGGAGTTTTGCTTCGTCATTCTCCTCTAAGGACTCCAACGAGCAGTAGAACAGTAGCTAGGGGGCTTCTCGGGAACTGCCTAGCTGGTGTC